ATTTCAATTTCTATAATGTTTTCTTATTCCATGGGAAAAGGAACATACAGACCAATCTATAGTCTTGGCTATAGACCAATCTATAGTCTTAACTATAGACCAATCTATAGTCTTAACTATAGACCAATCTATAGTCTTGACTATAGTCTTAACTTTAGACCAATCTATAGTCTTAACTATAGACCAATCGATAGTCTTGACTATAGATCAATCTATAGTCTTCATTATAGACCAATCTATAGACTTGAATATAGACCAATCTATAGTCTTTACTATAGATCAATCTATAGTCTTCACTATAGACCAATCTAGAGTCTTGACTATAGACCAATCTACAGTCTTGACTATAGACCAATCTATAGTCTTGACTATAGACCAATCTATAGTCCTTGACTATAGACTAATCTAGTCTTGCCTATAGACCATTCTATAGTCTTGACTATAGACCATTCTATAATCTTGACTATAGACCAATCTATAGTCTTTACTTTAGACCTATCTATAGTTTTGACTATAGTCCAACCTATAGTCTTGACTATAGACCAATCTATAGTCTTGACTATATACCAATCTCTAGTCTTTGATGTAGACCACTCTCTAGTCTTGACTATAGACCAATCTATAGTCTTGACTATAGACCAATCTATATTCTTCAGTATAGACCAATCTATAGTCTTGACTATAGACTAATCTATAGTCTTGACTATAGACCAATCTATAGTCTTGACTATAGACTAATCTATAGTCTTGACTATAGACTAATCTAGTCTTGTCTATAGACCATTCTATAGTCTTGACTACTGACCATTCTATAATCTTGACTGTAGACCAATCTATAGTCTTTACTTTAGACCTATCTATAGTCTTGACTATAGACCAATCTATAGTCTTGACTATATATCAATCTCTAGTCTTTGATGTAGACCAATCTATAGTCTTGACTATATACCAATCTCTAGCCTTGACTATAGACCAATCTATAGTCTTGAGTATAGACCAATCCACAGTCTTGACTATAGTCTTTTATACTGAGAGTTTATCGTAGAACCAAAAAATGTGAAGAGATCTTTTAAAGTAGTAGTATTTTATTTAAACTATGACTTTTATTTAGAAATTTTAATACTTTTTTCTTTAAATTTTAATAAGTATTAACTTTAATTTAACAATAATTAAACAATTTTATGAAAATTTTACTTAAAATATATTTATAAAATAAATTTTCAAACTTATTTACTAATTTTTACAAATATAAACATGTTTAACCTGGAACAAATATCGTTCTTAACCAACTAGTTTTAGAATGAAAGCAAATTCTCCTGCTTTTCAAAATTGTTCAATTCTTGACAATTTCAAACAAATATCAGACAATAAGAACTAGTTCTAGAACTTATTCCAAAAGAGGCAATTTGATAAAAACTTTCACAGATTTAATTCTAGAACTGAACATTTAAACAAAAACTTCAACTACAACTACAATCGAATTCGTGAAGCCTATTTGCAGTCATTTTAAAAACTAGTTTTTGAGCTAATAAAATTGTTCCCGGTATTTTTTTTTATCTTTCTTACAAAAAAAAAAAAAAAAAAATCAATTTTCAATAATCACAATTACAACAATTATTAATTTATATGTTATCTCTTCTTAGTTTACTCACATTACATTTCGTGCTGGTGGCTGCGTGGCGACAAAGAAATACGACTTAATTCTAAAACTTGTTCATCCTGTTGCAAAGGCGGCACAGTGGACAACACTTTATATTTGTTATACGTTGAGGAGGCCTTATTAACACAACCTCTACGAAATTGTTCATTTAATTTGGCGGACATACAGCGTTGATGATTCGAATTGGTTAACAGATCAAAAGCACTCAATGCCATTGTTTCCCTTACGGGGCGGGGTTTGTGAAAACTTAAAGAATTTGTTTGCAAAATATTTTTACTATTAGGTCTATATGTTTCCAATGGTTCTGTTTGTTGTTTCTTAAAAGTTTTAGGTGATATGGAGATTTTACTATCAATAACTAATCTACGTTTCTTTATTTCAATTTCTTGTGTTACATTAGGTCCTTGGGTGGGATTCACTAGATAAGTGGGTGTAATGCGTACAGGTTTTAAGGACTTTTTGGCACTCTCCACGGAGACAGGACGTTTTATCATTACCGGGTTTTTGGATTTTCTAGTATAAGTGCGTACGGGTGTTAAAACTTTTTGCCATTTCGCTATAGAATCTAAGGCTGTCGATGAAGAAACTGTTCTGGCTGTAGATCTGCTATAACTACTGTAATTTGAGGGAGCTGGTGAACAAGGCAGTCTAAAACTGCCATTTAATATGGACACATTAGCAGAGTTTTGTCTACCACTGGTTTGTTTGCTGGAAGTTACCAAGCGACCAACTTTTTTGGGTGTACCCTCTATGGCATTATGATAAATACGAGCCACTTTAATGCCTGGCGGTAGATTAACCATAGATCTTTCTAATAATTTAGTAGGTGCGGGAGCAGCTCTTCTAACAGCTTCTGGAGTCGGCAAACTAATATCTATTGAGTTACCACAGGTATTTGAGTTAAGTGATTGTTGCGCTGCAAGGCTGCCACAACTGCTGCGCTTCTTTACATTTGCTGGGGTACTATTAGCTAAAGGTGCTATCATAGGAGTAAAACCTGCATCCCCGGCTGAAAATCTATTTAATTTTTTAACATTCTCCACATTTTGCTCCTTTAGATAGGTTTTGGCCGGCTTCGATTCTTTCAGGGCAAAATTCATAACATTTGTTTTGGTCACTTGACAGCAGCGACGATTGGGTATTATATTTAGAAATGTTATTCTTCCATTTACAATTTGTGGCATGAAAATTTCCGATTCATAATTATCACATTCCACTAAAACCACATTATTACCAGCCAGCAGTTTGATGCGATAATTTAGTTTTTGTATATTTTCTTTTTTCGTGGCCATTGTACATGGATTACAATATTTTTTTTTTGGAAAAAGTTACAAAAACACTTTAAATTTATTATAAAATAAAGAAGAATTTGGTTAAAAATTCAATTTTATGTTCAAATTAATAATCCAACCGGGCAATAAACAATACAAAATAAAACAATAACAAATGATGCCGTCAAACAGAGAGATCTGCGCCGACAAATATCAATGACGACGGCGGCGTCTGACACTAAAAATTTCGACGGCGGCATAAAATCTGCTGTAAGACGGCAATGTTTTTAAAGATAAGAAAAAACGGAATCCCAGTATTTAAAAAGTGGGATTTTGAGAAAATTGACTTTTCAACTCATGAACTAGTTTATAGAATAGACTAGTCAAGAGACTAGTCCATAGACTAGCCAAAAGACTAGCTCATAGACTAGCCCACAAACTAGTTTATAGACTGGTCAACAAACTAATCTATATATTCTTTAAGAGGTTAGTTAATTAACTATACTATAGTCAGCAGAGTAGATAATACACTAGTCTATAGACTAGTGAATAACCTAGTCCACAGACTAGTCTATATATATGTAAGTCCACAGACCAATATGGGGACTAGTTAATATAATAGACAATAGGCTAGTCCATAGACTAGTCAACAGACTAGTTCATAGATCAATGGAATAGTACATAGACTGTTCCATTGGGTAGTCAGCTGACTAGTCAATAGACCAGTCAATAAGCTAGTCCATAAACTATTTGAAATTAACGTTCATATAAATTCCTAAACATCTGGCATTATTAGAAAGAGAGAAACAACTAAAATTTTAAATATGCATTTGTGTGTGTGGTCACCTTATCGTATCTGTGTGCGACAAGTGAGCTCAAGTATTTGCCAAATGAAAACGGTATCCGAGAGATACACTCCATTAGCATTTAGCATTTGACGAGTAAAAAGCCGAAGAAAGGTGTTGTGCGCGTTCAGCCGTTTTTAGTGTCGGTCGCCGTAAAAAAATCTATTGTATTTTAGTAAATAAATTATTGGTCAATATAAAAAATAACAAAAAAAATTTAGTTTTCCAACAAAAAAAGATAATTTCAACAAAATTATCTAGAAATATAAATGATTAACAAGTGATGACGAAATTTTCGATGATTAAAATTTATAAAAAAGAAAGATAAAGAAAAAATAGGTAAAATAAAGAAAACGAAATAATTAAATCTAAAGAAAGCCAACAAAACAACTACTGCAATAACAACAAAAACAACAAATTATAGTGGTTTGTGTAATCAATGTATGAATAATTTTTGGCTTGAAGAAAGAAAAAAAAAACAAAAACAACAAATAAATAAATTATGACGTAAAGTGTGTTTAATAAATAATTAAAATTGAAATGTTTTGAAAAATTAAAAAAAAATGACCAAATAAAACGTGCTTCTGAATCATACAACTACAAAGAAATCTAACACACCAATACTTACAACATGTACTTACACTCAAATTTTTTAGTACAAGAAAAGGAATAATTGATGTAAAGTTCAAACGAAATTCTTAAAAGAAAATTAAACAAAAACAACAATAACAGCAACAACAACTACAAAACAACTGTGGTGTATTGGTATTTTTCTATTGGTGTAGGTCAACAAACCTGTTAATAATAGATTAATTAGAAAGAAATCGTGAAGTAAAAAAGGAATTGTTCCTATTTTCAATTCGAAATTTCATCTGTTTTTGAAAAATTATTTTAAAAACATATTTTTCATATTTTTATGGCTCTTTTAAGAATTTTAATTTTCTTTAGTTTGTTAGTATCAGGGTTGTGAAGTTGAAATTATAAAGGCTTTCACAAAAACACTTTTTGTAGATAATGGATAGATAGATAGATAGATAGATAGATAGATAGATAGATATAGATAGATAGATAGATAGATAGATAGATAGATAGATAGATGATAGATAGATAGATAGATAGAATAGATAGATAGATCGCTAGCTCGCTCGCTCGCTCGCTGCCTCGCTCGCTCTCTCGCTCCTCGCTCGCTCGATCGCTCTCTCGCTGCTCGCTCGCTCGCTCGCTAGCTCGCTCGCTCGCTCGCTCGCTCGCTCGCTCGCTCGCTCGCTCGATCGATCGCTCGCTCGCTCGCTCGCTCGCTCGCTCGCTCGCTCGCTCGCTCGCATCGCTCGCTCGCTCGCTCGCTCGCTCGCTCGCTCGCTCGCTCGGCTCGCTCGCTCGCTCGCTCGCTCGCTCGCTTCTCGCTCTGCTCGCTCGCTCGCTCGCTCGCTCGCTCGCTCGCTCGCTCGCTCGCTCGCTCGCTCGCTCCTCGCTCGCTCCGCTCGCTCGCTCGCTCGCTCGCTCGCTCGCTCGCTCGCTCGCTCGCTCGCTCGCTCGCTCGCTCTCTCGCTCGCTCGCTCGCTCGCTCGCTCGCTCGCTCGCTCGCTCGCTCCTCGCTCGCTCGCTCGCTCGCTCGCTCGCTCGCTCGCTCGCTCGCTCGCTCGCTCGCTCGCTCGCTCGCTCGCTCGCTCGCTCGAGCTCGCTCGCTCGCTCTCGCTCGCTCGCTCGCTCGCTCGCTCGCTCGCTCGCTCGCTCGCTCGCTCGCTCGCTCGCTCGCTCGCTCGCTCGCTCGCTCGCTCGCTCGCTCGCTCGCTCGCTACTCCTCGCTCGCTCGCCTCGCTCGCTCGCTCGCTCGCTCGCTCGCTCGCTCGCCCCCGTCCTTATCCTCCCCCTCCCCTCTCACTCGTCCTCCTCCGTCCTCCCCCTTTCGCGTTGGCCGTTGTCTCTCCCCCTTTCCTTGTTTCTTTCCCTCTATTTCCCCTTTGGGCCTCCGTGTTCCTGTCCGTGTTGCTTGTCTTTTGTCCTCTTCTTCTTGTTTCCTGCCGTGTCTGCCCACCGCCCTGCCATTTTCTGTTTACTTTTCTTGTTTTTTTTCTGCTTCCCCCTGCGACTGTCCACTCTGCCTCCCGGTTTTTTCAGTTACTCACAAACTTCTGAATACCGTATTTTGTTTTTTCTTTTGTTTACTTGATATTTTACTTTACTCTTATTATTTTATAACAACAACACTAAACCTTAAACCGTACTTAATGGCAACAACAATAAGAAAAATTTTGTTAAAACAAAAACAACTACAAGATACTAAAAAAAAGTGCTACTTAAAAGATCGTTTAGTGTGTACTTTTCATATTCTTCTGCTTCTACTATGTCTTTTACAATGTCTTTTGTTTTGTTTTTCTGGTTGTTTTGTTTAGGTTATTGCTTTTGTTGTTGTTACTTGTCAAACGTTTAGGTTTTGTAAAAAGGAAAAAAAAAACAACAAAAGAGTGTTAAAAACAGTGTTGCCATTGTTAGTTGTTAATAATATTTTAGAGAGAAGAGAAATAAAGTTGTTCAAAAACAACTTGTACCTATTTAAAGATCTTGTAATAGACTATTAACTATTATATGGACGTGTCTATGGAGTAGTATATTGACAAGTCCATTTACTTGTCTATGAACTAGTCTATGGCCTATTCTATAAACTAGTTTATCTATTGACTAGTTTGGTGGGCTAGTATTCTATTGTCAGGTCTATTGACTGACCTGTTGACTATTTTTAACTGATCTATTGACTAGTATAATGATCTATTCACTAGTATAATGACTAGTCCGTGGACTAGTCTATTGACTAAATATAGGACTAGTCTGTGGACTACTATATTGTCCTGTCTATGGATTAGCCTAGTGGCTAAGCTATGGGCTAGTCTATTGACTAGCCTATTATTTAGATCATGAACAGGTATATGCCTTGTTAATGGACTCAGTCGATTGAGTATTCTGTTAAGTAATCTATTGACTAGTACATATATTATTCTATGGACTATATATTGACAAGTCTGTTGACTAGTCTATGGACTATTCTAGTGACTAGACTTTTGACTAATCTAGTCCATGGACTTGTCTTTGAGCAAGTCTATAGCCTATGGTGCCGATATTATTGCAGTCATCATCATAACTTTATTAAATCCCCTTTTTTCTAAATTATTACTGGCAACACTGATTGTTTATACTCTTTCTCTCTCATATATACACAAGATCCGTTAAAAAGAAAAACAACAAAAATATGATAATGGCTGGCTACTTTACAATCAAAACCTAAAGAGTTTTTAGTGTAAAATTAAGTCGAGTGAGTTGTGGTCGGTTGGCGAAGTGTAGTTGTATTTTTATTTAATAAAAAAAAAAAACAAAAATAAATAAATAATTTCTATAAAAAAAAATAAGAAAATATTTATGAGAAATTGATTTGAGTCATAAATAAAAAATAATTTAATACAGGTTTTCTTTTTCACTAATTTTACAAAGAAATATAATTTGATTAATAAAACAAATAGTGAGTGAGTGTGTGCAAATATGAAAAATAAATAAAATTAACAAAATAACAAAAAATTACCGCAACAAAGAACAAAATTATTCAAATATTAAAAAAAATTTATAAATATTTGTTGCACACAACAAAAATAATTAATTAATTTTCCTTTTTCCAGTTCATTATTATTTTTTGTTAAAATAACAACAAAATTTTCTTTAACTTGTTTTACAACTACAAAAAAAGCAGAAGTTCTTCTACAAACAACTACTTTTAACTTCGTTTGACTTCTTTTCAACAAGGAATCATACGAACACAAACCAAAAAAAAAAAAAAACATAAACCGGAAATACCCTGAATTTGCTTTCCTCCTCTCTCTCTCTCTCTTTAACATTCACTCTACGAAGAAGTCAATGTTTGTAATGATTGTCAAGATTGTTAAGATGTATTGAAAGTGACGAGAAGTAACAACAACAATAATAATAACACAACGTGAAACCATCAACTAAAAGCAATTCAGGTGTTTCCAGTGTAATTACAATAACAACAAACACAACAAGTTTTTATATTTATTGAAATTTTTTTTTTCAAAATAAACTTTCTTCAAATAATCTGTATGTTTTAATAATTATGTCATGGGATCGTGTACGCGACGACACTTTTACTATCAACATGCTTTCTTCAAATGGTAAGTTGCATTTTAATTTTAAATTGGATTTTTATTAAATATTTTTACTATTTTAGAGGATTGTTGTGGGCACAGTACAATTTTTTAATGAAAAATACCATATTATTGAAAATATTAAATTAGTTTTGAAATTTTACGAAAGTTGAAAAGCTAAAGACTGAAAACTATAGCACAGACTATAGACTAGACTATAAACTAGACTATGGACTATACTATAAACTGGACTATAGACTAGTCTATCGACTAGACTATAGACTAGACTAGACTATCGACTAGACTGTAGACTAGACTATAGACTAGACTATAGACTAGACTATAGACTAGACTATCGACTAGACTATAGACTAGACTATAGACTAGACTATCGACTAGACTATCGACTAGACTATCGACTAGACTATCGACTAGACTATGGACCTGACTATAGACTTGACTATAGACTAGACTATAGACTAGACTATAGACTAGATAAGTCTATAGTTCAGTTCTAGTTCATTTCTAGTTCAGTTCTAGTTCAGTTCTAGTTCAGTTCTAGTTCAGTTCTAGTTCAGTTCTAGTTCAGTTCTAGTTCAGTTCTAGTTCAGTTCTAGTTCAGTTCTAGTTCAGTTCTAGTTCAGTTCTAGTTCAGTTCTAGTTCAGTTCTAGTTCAGTTCTAGTTTAGTTCTAGTTCAGTTCTAGTTCAGTTCTAGTTCAGTTCTAGTTCAGTTCTAGTTCAGTTCTAGTTCAGTTCTAGTTCAGTTCTAGTTCAGTTCTAGTTCAGTTCTAGTTCAGTTCTAGTTCAGTTCTAGTTCAGTTCTAGTTCAGTTCTAGTTCAGTTCTAGTTCACTTCTAGTTCACTTCTAGTTTAGTTCTAGTTCAGTTCTAGTTCAGTTCTAGTTCAGTTCTAGTTCAGTTCTAGTTCAGTTCTAGTTCAGTTCTAGTTCAGTTCTAGTTCAGTTCTAGTTCAGTTCTAGTTCAGTTCTAGTTCAGTTCTAGTTCAGTTCTAGTTCAGTTCTAGTTCAGTTCTAGTTCAGTTCTAGTTCAGTTCTAGTTCAGTTCTAGTTCAGTTCTAGTTCAGTTCTAGTTCAGTTCTAGTTCAGTTCTAGTTCAGTTCTAGTTCAGTTCTAGTTCAGTTCTAGTTCAGTTCTAGTTCAGTTCTAGTTCAGTTCTAGTTCAGTTCTAGTTCAGTTCTAGTTCAGTTCTAGTTCAGTTCTAGTTCAGTTCTAGTTCAGTTCTAGTTCAGTTCTAGTTCAGTTCTAGTTCAGTTCTAGTTCAGTTCTAGTTCAGTTCTAGTTCAGTTCTAGTTCAGTTCTAGTTCAGTTCTAGTTCAGTTCTAGTTCAGTTCTAGTTCAGTTCTAGTTCAGTTCTAGTTCAGTTCTAGTTCAGTTCTAGTTCAGTTCTAGTTCAGTTCTAGTTCAGTTCTAGTTCAGTTCTAGTTCAGTTCTAGTTCAGTTCTAGTTCAGTTCTAATTCAGTTCTAATTCAGTTCTAGTTCAGTTCTAGTTCAGTTCTAGTTCAGTTCTAGTTCAGTTCTAGTTCAGTTCTAGTTCAGTTCTAGTTCAGTTCTAGTTCAGTTCGAGTTCAGTTCTAGTTCAGTGCTAGTTCTGTTCTAGTTCAATTTTAGTTCATTTCAATTTTGTTCATAGTTGTCTTGGTTAACATTAAATCTAAATTGCAGTCCAGTCTTTTCCAATATTGGAATTTTTCGAAATTAGTCAAGATTTTTATGAAAAATTATAAAATATTACTTTTTATTAAAGTAATCAAAATGAAAAGTTTTATTTCAATTTCTATTTAAACTTATTTTTTCAACATTATTTACCCTTTCTGTCTTCACTGTTTTAAATGTTGCAATGACTAAGACTCTCAAGTCCGCAGCGACTGACCGATTCATTGTCTGTGGAAAGTAAATTGTGAAATAGAGGAAAATATAAAATGTTATTACCATTTATTGCTTATCTATTGACGTCTAATTTACGCAGTACAGTAACTAACTACTGCAGTAGATATTTATAGACCTAATAGATGCCAATAGTAAGAGACAATTGCCACAGTTGAATCATAACATATGGAAACAATTAAATTGTCAATTTTAACTGCTTTTGTGAGGAAAGAAGTTGCAAATTAAATAATTTTTCTTAATATTTATGTAAAATTTCTTGTTTTACATAGAATTTACTTTATCTTCCTTTAGTGCTCATAAGTAGCTGTTTAAAGTTTCAAGTTTTTCAAAAAAAAAATATTCTATTTCGAAATAAAAGTGGGAAGCTGAACATGAAATGTGATTCATCGTCAGCATTTTTATAAGTTTGTAAAATATTTATGTGTATCGTCAACCCATAACAACCATCATCCATTTTAAATGTTTTAAATCGTCATCGTCATCAACAACAGGCAGCAGCATAAAAATTCATTATCATGAACAAAGACATCATGTTGTCTGTTGTTTGTATATTTTTATTTTATTTTCTTTTTATTGTTTTCTATATTATTATTTCATGTTTTTTTTGCAACAAAACTTTTTGCTGCTGCAACTGATTTGGTGAAATTCAATGCAGAATTTTACATATCCGACATACATACATATGTATGTATTATACATACTTGACATGTGCTTGTATACATATGTAAATGTGCATGCATACACATGCATGTTTGTATGTTTTTCTGTACCAACCAAGTTGGTTTCCCTTCCTGGCCTTTGTTTTAAAACAAAATAATGAATTTACCCAATCGGGTCAACAGGCTGTTAGTAAAAGGAAAAAAATTGTTAATGTAAACTTTTGCATATAAAAAATTTCTTAAAATTATTCATTTATTTTCTTAAGATTTTTCTTTTCAATAAAAATATTGTTAAAAAAAAAAATAGTTTTTTAAACACGTTCAAAATTTTACATAATAAAAACTTTTTATCAATTGCCAAGCGTTTTATTTATTTGAAAACTTTGCGCTTTTATTCTGAATAATAATATTATTCTAGAAAGAAAATAAATTTCGTTACAAAACTTGACACTTATAAAACATACAAAAAGCAAACCGCTGTCATTTGTCACTGGTTTTTTTTTTTTATAATTAAACTGTGTTTTTTTCTTCTTCGCAGTTTGCGGTCTGTAGTTTTGTGGTTGCAATAATTAGAGTGTCCTCGTCACATTGTAACAGTTATTGTAATAACAAAACATAAACCTTACACTTCTTTTTTTACAATTCCTTTTTTATTTTTCTTCTTTTCAATTCTCATTCTTAACAAAATTTGCCAAATGTCCACTGCAGCAGTAATGCAGCAATCCTTTTTTTTACACACAAACAGCTGACGATTGTCAAAAAAGGGAAGTTTTCCTAAAAAACTTTCGAATAATAAAATCTATATTTAAATATTTATTTACTTATTTTCCTTGTTATATTTTAAATTGTTTAAAAAAACCTTCATTTAAATGACCCATTTCAATTTAAGGAAATAAATCTTATTAAAAAATCATTAGATTTTAGCACGTATTTATAGTTTTTCTTTTTTTTTTTTTAAATCTTGCATATTGCATGTATTTATTACCTCAGGCCCCTGCAATCTTAAAAATTTCAATCAAACATTTTTCACTTGCTCACATGGTTGATATATACATTCTCTTATAAAGCAGATACTAGGCATTCAAGTTTCTATGGGTGTTTCCATTTTGTATATTTTTCGAACTTAATTTTGAATTTTTTAAAATCTGCTAACAAATCTTAAAATCAGCACTAGGTCGTGTTTAGATTAGTTCAAGATCATGTCTAGATAAATTCAAGGTCATGTCTAGATAAGTTTAAGACCAGTTCCAGTTTAGTTTACTTCAGTTCTAGTTCTGTTCTAGTTCTGTTCTAGTTCTGTTCTAGTTCTGTTCTAGTTCTGTTCTAGTTCTGTTCTAGTTCTGTTCTAGTTCTGTTCTAGTTCTGTTCTAGTTCTGTTCTAGTGTTCTGTTCTAGTTCTGTTCTAGTTCTGTTCTAGTTCTGTTCTAGTTCTGTTCTAGTTCTGTTCTAGTTCTGTTCTAGTTCTGTTCTAGTTCTGTTCTAGTTCTGTTCTAGTTCTGTTCTAGTTTGTTCTAGTTCTGTTCTAGTTCTGTTCTAGTTCTGTTCTAGTTCTGTTCTAGTTCTGTTCTAGTTCTGTTCTAGTTCTGTTCTAGTTCTGTTCTAGTTCTGTTCTAGTTCTGTTCTAGTTCTGTTCTAGTTCTGTTCTAGTTCTGTTCTAGTTCTGTTCTAGTTCTGTTCTAGTTCTGTTCTAGTTCTGTTCTAGTTCTGTTCTAGTTCTGTTCTAGTTCTGTTCTAGTTCTGTTCTAGTTCTGTTCTAGTTTTGTTCTAGTTCTGTTCTAGTTCTGTTCTAGTTCTGTTCTAGTTCTGTTCTAGTTCTGTTCTAGTTCTGTTCTAGTTCTGTTCTAGTTCTGTTCTAGTTCTGTTCTAGTTCTGTTCTAGTTCTGTTCTAGTTCTGTTCTAGTTCTGTTCTAGTTCTGTTCTAGTTCTGTTCTAGTTCTGTTCTAGTTCTGTTCTAGTTCTGTTCTAGTTCTGTTCTAGTTCTGTTCTAGTTCTGTTCTAGTTCTGTTCTA